AGATAGATAGATAGATAGATAGATAGATAGATAGATAGATAGATAGATAGAAAATAAACTATTACTTGTACTACTATTCCTACTTCGTGTTTTTTTTTCACTTCGGGTTACGGATCCCCCCTCAATAAACGAGGGATTTCTTTACTTGCGTTTTCTTACCAAATGTAAAGAAATCAGAGATGAGTAGACAAACACATTTATTTTGTGAAAATCATTTTTTTCTCCATTCATGATGTAAAAAAACCCAACAATTTACATTAAAATATACTTTTAAATGTATATTATTGATTAATAGTGTTTTAGTACTTTAAAAAAGTGTTCAACGTGTTTTGATAACTTTGATGGAAATTTCAAAACTGTTGAGATAAAATGATTCAGATCTTCATTTTTTCTATAAAAACAGAAACAGTTAAAAAAAACGTGCAGAATGTGACTGGGATCAGACAGAAAAACAAAACCTGGACCCAGGAATAATCCCAGTTTTCATCTTTAAGGACTGGAAGAATAAAATTCCAAGGAATCATTTAGAAGAGTTGAATCCATGAATGTGAAAATGTTTCTGAGTGACAGAGTCAGATATCTACTGACTGAACCATCTGCTGAACATTGAGAAGGTTTCTCTGACAGGAGGAGACTCTGCATCAAACTCAACACACAAACACTGAACCAGAACTAACGGTAAATCCAGGATGAAGAGTTTGAGTGAACGTGGTGTTGAAGGTGTGGAGGTGGATCAGGGAGTCAGAGGAGACTCTGTAGAAGGACAAAATGCCAGCAGGACAGTCCACGTACACTGCCACTCTGCGGGAGGAGGAGGAGGAGGAGGAGGAGATGGATATTCCATTGTTATTGTGCCAGACAGAGTAACCACCATCAATGCACTCCAGACTCCAGGACTGATCATTCCATCCAAACCTGCAGCTTTTACTGTCTCCTCTCCTTCTGATCCCTCTGTAGCTCACAGATATGAAAACTCTTCCCCTCCACTCGACCTCCCAGTAGCAGCGACCAGTCAGACCAGCTCCACACAGCAGCTGAGAAACATCAAATCTGTCTGGATGGACAGGATATGACTGGACCTCCTCCACACGGGTCACCCTCCTGTTGTTGTCGGACAGCTGGAGTTTTCTGCTCACCGTGTTTGTGTCGATTGTGAGCTGATAGGAATCTGATGGAGAGAACAAGCTGCAGTTATTGATCCACCATCTGATCAGTTATTGACACTTTGATGATGACTGAATGAGTGATGAGAAGATGGTTGAACGTTGCTGCGTTGTTATCATGGAATAAATAAAAACACACTTACACTTCCTCAGACCTGGTGTCAGCCATCGGACTCCAGCAGGCTCCACCCTGAAAGCAGCAGCGAGGTCAGACCATCAGTCTCTTTCAGCAAACATGGACACTACATGTCTCTCATCCACACATGGTTCTACAGTGAGAAAGGATCAGTCCAACATTTGAAGGGAGCGTCTCTAAAGTCCAGTAATGCTCCTACTTGTCTGATCGTTCAAGTCCAGCAGGAGGCATAAGGTAGAGCTGAGTGAAGAACAGAGAACATGTTTCCAGTTCTTCCTCCTCCAGCAGACGTGTGTCTGCAGCAGGTCTCTGTCAGGAGATGTGTGGTCAAGGTTTATGGATGTTTTTAAACTACTCTGGCTGAGAACCGCCCACGAACCTTGTGTTTGAGTTACCAGAGAGTTATTTTCTCCCTCAGAGAGCTGAATGAGGAGCTGATTTGATCCTGCATGTGCAGCTGGGTGGCCGAGGTCATCAGTGTGCTGCAAGAGCTGATAAGCTGATAAGAACTTTTATACATCTGTGTAACGTGTGGTGAAAGTCTGCCCTCGAAAGTTAAACTGGTAAAAAAAAATCTTGTGTCCTCGAGTGTGGCGTCGTTGAGTCGGTAAGATGAATAGAGGATTTTTTTACGCAACAGTCTCCCCATACCTGAGTGTGTCCAGTCTCCAGTGTGGATCCATCAGTCCAGCTGCCAGCAGCTTCACCGAGTCTCCTGGATGATTGTAGCTCAGGTCCAGCTCTCTCAGATGGGAAGGGTTGGAGCTCAGAGCTGAGTTCAGAGGAGCACAGCCTTCCTCTGTGACCCGACAGCCTGACAGCCTGCAGACACAGACAGCCCTGACACAAACTACAGATGACTGGATCAAACGTTCACAGAAAGCCAACCGTCTTTGAGTTTTCATTTCAACCACTGTCTCTTCGATTATCTGAATTATGCAACTTGGATAAATAAGTATGATTTCTAAATAAGACCAGAGCAGTATATTAAATCCATCAGAATGTAAAGATTTTAGTTTGTGTTAAGTTTGAAAATAATTAAACTAAATGATCAAGTGCATCCAGACATTTATTCTTAGTGTATCATCTGGCTTGTAAAACAGTGAAAATGGAAATAAATGAAGAAATAAACTGAAACCAAAACTTGACAAGATTAAAGAGAAAAACTGTTTCACTTTTTTCCTCTAATATATGAAACATCACGTGAGAATGAGAAATATCTTGTTTTTTAATCTTCCTGCTGCTCTTAATTCAAAATGACACGAGGGCATTTTGTGTTCCAATTGAAATTCTGTGTTTCATTTTTTAGCTTTTCTAGTAAACCATGCCTAAATAATAAAATAATTTTAGCCTAAGTATTGGCCTATAATTTCTATTGTCTAAATATCATACAGGTGAAGTGTTGGTTGTCAACATGATCTTATTTAACGTTCTGACCTGAGAGTTTCCAGGTGACAGGGTGGACACCTCAGGGCAGCAGAAAGCAGCTTCACTCCCGAGTCCTGCAGGTTGTTGTTGCTCAGGTCCAGTTCTTTGAGACCGGGGGACTGGGAGCTGAGGACTGACGACAGAACCTCACCGCTTCTCTCCGACAGGTTA